GCCATACTGGTCTTAAATTCAATGCAAGATTTCTTACAATACCTTAGCTTATGCAGGAGAAAACTCCTTCCCTCCCTCTGCATTTGCTCCTCTTTCTTTAATTCTTGGAGAGAAACCCACTGAAACATAGCTCAGGAAATGGCTTGGCTTTCCTGTGCCCCATGGAAGCTCCATCATTATCCTTGTAACCTCATTACTTGATGGACCTTAGTTATGAATTGCAGACACTCAAAGTTTGAATGCTAAGCTCAAGTAATTCCCTTCATTCTTCTCCATATGCCTTCTGCCCCATCTTAATGGGCTATTGAGATTCCAGGGTCAAACTTACCTCCTGAGATAAGCTTTAGAGCAGACAGAAGCACACATTTTAAGGAACCTGTTCTGTAATCAGCCGCAGAGTGTTTCACTCTAAACAGGTAAGGCTGACAGACAGAAGAAAAGGAAATAGCAGAAGAGGGATGAATTCAGGTCCTGTAGCAGGTCAGAATATGTTTCTGCACTGAAATCTACTTGTTTCAGGTGAGTAAGAAGGAAAAAAAGAGAGAACAGGCTCTTCAGAGGGCTGCTTACAACTCTGTGTGCCAGCCCTGGCATCACTCAGGCTTGCACAGGCAGTTTGTGGGTAGAGTCGGCCCTGTAGCTAAACAATTTTGTCAGGTATCTCAGCTGACCAGTTGGCATATCCCATATCCCAAAGGAAGACAACCTTGACACTTCAATACTAACAGTGCAGCTTCAATCTTTCATGGGCCAAGAGCGCTTCACACAGCTTGAAACCTTGAAGAACAAGTGGAAAACTCTCAAGTTAACAAGGAGGTTTTGTGTGCACTAATTATAGCCTACAAAAACCCATTGTCTGTGTCCAAGGCTAGGTCACACTGTTGTTACAAAGCTTTTGTAACTCTGCTAATACCTTTAATACAAGCTCCTATTAATTGTATATTCAACTTAATTCCTAAGCTCAGTGCTACTGGATTGCACTAGCCAGGCAGCTGACTGTAATTACGGCATGCTTATAGTGTGCTTAACCTGCATTTACAAAGCACATTAACTCTCATGATTCTGTTTTAATTTGGTGTAGGATTGACAACCTTTGATTTTTCTCCACAAACCAGACCTAACACGACCAGCAGCCAGGTAAACACATCATGCTAACCAGCTAATATGACTCTACTGCTCTAGAGGGAGGTGATGCAGAGCTTCATTCTCCATTGGGTAACCGCAACTACATCATCATATCCAGCTCTCTACAAACTGCCTTTTTTGTTATAGATACTGGTTCAATAGGAATCTTAATCTCCAAAAGAGCTATCCTGTTAGAGGCACAAACAGGAGTCCAGGGAAAACAGGAGCTCCTATGATCATCAAAGCTGCTGAATGATGTACAGCCGTCAAAACAGAGAGTCCTTCCCTAACCATGAATTTCTACAATCCTAGGCCATCATGCAATATTTCAGTAATTCTAGAAACCTAACAAAGAGAAAAATTTCCTCGACCATTTCAGAAGAGCTTTGAACTGGATCTGCTAACCTACAGATGACCACAGGTATCATCTTTGATATTTGCTTTCCAAACCTATATTGAAAAACTGAGAGAAGTACTGATTAAATCCAGCGTGTTGCATAAATCTGGAGAGAAGCCAATACCTCATTTAATCAGTTGGCTGTCAGCCCATGTGAGTTACTCTTTTTGAATGATTTATGAGCACTGAGGCACACAGGTGCTAGTGCAATGAGCTAAAATAGGATCAGAGTGCGTACTACCTACATGCTATAAAGACAAGCTGAGGGCGGGCCACACAGACTGAGGGCTGCTGAAGGTTTAGCATGGCAATTGTGACTTGGCTCTGTCCAACACCATCTCCACATCCCTGGCACACTCCAGTTAACACATAGTTCCCGCCTCTTAAGTTCTCCCAACTAACAAATCCTCTCTGCAGTATGTCTTCTCCCCCCTCCCCACCCACGGTTGTTCAGGAAAGTAATAAAAAGCAATTAGAGAAAGTCCTGGGTGGGACTGAACTAGAAAGATCGGTGGTCTGGATGTCATGAAGGAGGAAAAAAATAATGTGTTGTTTGGTTTAAAAAAGATTGAAGGAAGGCATCAAATGTGGAAAAGGTTTGCTGAAAGAGGAAAGGGAATTAGCTTATGTCCGAGTACAGGACATACAGCACTGGACTTAAATTGCTACAAGGATAGCTTGAATTAAACATTAGGAAAAATCCCCCCAGGTAAGAATAGTGAGACACTGGAATTAATTGGTTAGGGAACTTCCATTCTTCCCTTTAAGAACTGGCTAAGCAAACACCTGTCAGACAGCATAGAAGAGCCTGTTTTAGGGCATGCAGATAGACCTAATGACTTCCCAGGATTTCTTCCAATCCCCTTTTCTATGATTTTTTTTGACATTTCTATTACCTTCTCTTGCATCTGTCTCGGTATTTCTCTGTTATAAGCCTTTCTTTCCTCATAATGGTTTTAAACGGCAACATACGCTCTTGCTACGAAATTTAATGCCAATATTCAATCTTTCGCTCTCTCATTCTTGTTTCCTCTGTTGAAAGAGATGTAAATAAAAACCCTCTACTCATGCAGCTACATTGATAAATATTTTCAATCAAAATGTTATTTGAAATAAAATGGATTTGTGTACAAAATGGTAACTCCAAAAAAGTCTATTTTCTAAAAAAAAATGTTAGGTTCCCAGTGAAAATTCGATCATTTTAAAAGACAATTTTCAACAAAAAGGACTTTTTCTTTGTCTTATCTTTTCACAGGAATAAAGTAATTTCCTAACGGAGAGTAGCAATTACAATGTTCCTTTTATTATTCCTCGTTGCCATTTCTTCCATTAAACTCTCCATCAACATATCATTTTGATTTATTTTTCAAAGCAAGTATTTATTTTCCACAAAACATAAAGGCAATAGAAATATATATATAGACTGAAAATTTTGTTTATACTGTATTACTAAACCATTGCCCATGCATGCATATGGCTGCGTAAACAAACACATCAGCAATAATATCTCATCTTTATAGACTCAAAACTTGTTTACTCTCTGTCTAACCAAATCTGAAAAGGGAAGCCCTCTGTCCCCAAATGCTGCTCTGCTTTTATCCCAACAGGCAGGCTCCAGGCCCCTCTATACATGTGCTTATTGCTGTACAAATCTTAGCCTTTCTCTCAGGGCTATTCTCTTTATGCAGGATGACTCATTAGCTTTTATCCCCGGTAGGAAGCTGACATCCAATTAACTAGCTGACAGTCCTCTAGTGGCTCCCACTAGTCCTATAAGGCTCTGTTTACAAACACAGGCTGTTGCGCCCATAAGGGAGGGTAAGTTAAAAGTCCCCCTGCCAGGCCAGTTTGTTCAAAATCTTCAGAGCCCTTTAAATAATACCTTTGTATGTTAAAGATCAGACATATTGCTTGCAGCAGGATGCAAGCCATCCTAATGGATGCATCTGCGTTTGGCGGGAAAGGGAGCAGCAACTGGTATCGAAACAGGAGCACCATGGCACGGTGACTGCCAAGATCTGGGTTTCAGCTGGGAAGCCAAAGGAAAATAGCAGAAGGCAAACTTGGTAAACACTGTCTGGGGAAGTACCAAAAGGGTTTGCTCATAGTGATTTAAGCTATCTCGGACAAAAAAAAAGGGGGACTTCAGAGCCTTTTAGTAATAAAACTACTCGTGTGGCTACATTTGCACAAGGAAACAAGTTATTTTATTAACTCTCATAGTTTGAAACCCACACACTCTTGAGTAAGAACATCGCGTTGCTTGCTTAGAATGCTGCTTTTTACTTTGCAGGGACTTACCACGTAGTTTCTCAGCCTTTGACAGGGATGTGCTCATCTCCTTCACTTGTACTAGGATTTCTACTTAGATTTTCCCTTTCAGTCAGCTCCAGAGACTACAGGTGGCCAGAACATTATGATCAAGACTACTCAATTTTCATATGACATCAGCTAAATCCAATAACTGCAGAGTTTCTACTCAGACATAGGTCTGCCCTGGAACAAGTTCAAACTAAAGCCATAAAAGCTACTCCTAACTCAGCAGCTTGGGTATCTCTCTGGTAGCAAGTCTGAAACTGGACCTCAGTTTCAAATGTTCCCGAGTATTTACAGCATTTTGGATGGTGCTCTAAATCTTAATCTTCACCTCCAGCTCCCTGAGTCAGATGTAAAAGCACTGACTGATCCAGACACTTTCAAACCTGAGCTCAATTCCTTAGAATTTTCATGAAGGTCGTCTGGTCTTTTGAAACAAGTTGCACTTGTCACAAACCACAGCAGTGGCTGTATTCATAGTGAGAAATGCTGACACTGCCCTATGCTACTCTTTTGAGTAGGCAATGGAAGGGAAATGGGTTCTGAGAAAAACAGGGAAGCATCAAATCCTGGTTCTTATTTCCTCCAAGGCTGCTCTGCAGCAAATTGCTATTTGGTTACAACAGCAGGCAAAATCTCCAGGCAGAGAAGGTCCCCACAGACAAATACAAAAAAAAGGCTGTGGTCAGCAGAGCTCTAATAGTTTGAGAATTTACCCCTCCACCTCCTCTAGATGACTGTTATAGATTAATATCTCAACATCCGGAGTCTGTACTACAAATCACATGGCTACTTCCAACCGGCAGCAGTCTGCCAGGTGAGCTCAAACCACTTTCAGCAGCAGCATGAGCTTGCACTGAAATGTCTCAGGAGCCTCTCACACTCTGTTTCCCCATTTACCTGCAGCTGAAGCATCTTCTCACAGGCAGCAAAAAGAAATAGCTGAGGGACAGTCACTTACCTAGTGCCACAGTCAGTTCTGCTATAACTATTTAACCACAGCTTAAAGCACAGCCTCTACTGAGAAAAGATATTTCTGTAACTGGGTGAATTATATTCCAAACTGTAGTGAACACTGACTGTACCTGCTAATTAACTGTTCTGCCTCATTACATAATAAGAATGACAATGACAATTGCCTTGTGCATCATGGTATGACACCATGGCTCTCGCCATAAGCCAGCCAGCACAGCAGTGCGTAACAGAAGGTAAGACTTGTCGCTTTGTCCCATCGAGCAGGGTTTGCTCCAGCTGCACCTTGGTCTGAGCAAGAATCCAGATCTTACCTAAACAGTAACTCACAGAATCACAGAAAAATTAGGATTGGAACAGACCTTGGGAGTGCTGGAGAAGGAATCAATCTCCCCAAATTGGAGAAGGATCAATTTCAGCTTTTGATCAGGTTGCTCAGGGCCGGGCCTGGCCTGGTCCAGTTAAGTTATGAAAATCTCCAAGAATGGAGATTCTACAGCCCCTCTAGACTCTGCTCCAGCCTTTAATCACTTTAAAAACAAACAAACAAACAAAAAAACAACTCACATCTAGTTGGAATTTCCCTTTTCATAACATATGACCACTGCTTCATCCTTCCTCTGAAAAGAGACCACCTCTGTCTTCTCTACACCCTTTGGGCAGTGGAAGACTGCAATTAGACTACCTTAGTCCTCCCTTTTCCAAGCTAAGCAAACCCAGCACCCTCAGCTGCCCCTCACACATCACATGTACCAGCCTCCTGACCGTCTTAGTGGCCCTCTGCTAGACTCTCCAGTTTATTGACATCTCTCTTGTACTGGGAGGGACCAAACCAGACACAGTATTCCAGATACAGCTTCACAAATGCCTAGCAGAGAGGACTAACCATCTCCTTCGACCTGCTGGCTGTGCCCTTGCTAACACAGCCCAGTATACAGTTAGCCTTCATTGCCTACTTCTGCTTTGCCTAGATAGTGATACACAACCTGTTTGTTGGCTATGTCAAATTATACATCTTAGTAGATCTTTCTGCTGCCTAATACTTAACCTGCTGCCCTTCAATGCTCAGCATTTCCAGTTAAGCAAACTACGAGAACATTAAAATTGCTTTAAACTCACTACAGTCCAGGCAGCAACAGGCCTACTCTTCCTGGAGACCATGCATGACCATGGAAAAAAAAAAAAAAAAAGTCCCCAACTACACTGTGTTTTTAATCCTATGGCATAGGCTAATTCATGTATGAAAGGCCAACAGATGGATGGAAAGAGACACCCTCCTCCCCCTTCAGCTGGTATCAATTCCCATTGAATACTCTCCCGTGTCCAGGCTATGCACGTTGACCGCTCAGTGCAGACAAAACTGCAGACCACCTTGACTAACTTCCTAACAAGATCTGTGCATCTGTGTTCCTCTCCCACTCGTTCTCTCTCTAAATTTTCCTCTAATTAATTCCATACTAAGCACTGAAAAGCTGCAGGGTCCTCTCAGACATCCCTTGTCCCTTTCTCTACAGGCCCTCTGGTTCCTCCATGGTAAGCCCGCTGGTAAAAAGCTGACATCTGTGCGGCAGCTCACAGGCTGCAATTTCAGGTACAGCATGTGTTGCACCTTGAACTACCATCTCATTTCAGACCCCACCATTGAGACCAATTAAGCATAGAGCATGCAAGAAGCCGACTGAGTGTCACGTGCCGACTATAACCACAAGGACTTAGAGGCCACAAATCTGTTATTACCAAGCTGTTCCTGACAGCAGCATGCTGCCTCCTAACAAAAAGAATAGATTAGGATCAATCAAGTCTCCCTCTGGCTTGTCAGTGGGACTTTGGACCACACCTTCCACCCAAAACTAACTTCCTCTCCTCTTTCTGAGCACCTAGCCTGCTCCAAGCTAACAAGGTGTCTGCTGAGTCAAGCATGAGCTGAACCATATGTTCATAATTAGTTAACTTCTTGCTTTGTCACTAGAGGCACCATCAATAAATCAGCAACAGCCTGTACTGACCTTAGGAGAGCCAATGAGCCACCCCCAGCCAGCACAGACCTCTTCCCTCCACACAGGCGACTGGCCATATTTCATTCCAGCTGCGGCATTGTGAGGTGAATTAACTTTATCCTCAATTTAAAAAGCCAGCATGAAATCAAAAGAGACTTGAGGAAAAGAATATAAAGAAAGAAAGAAAGAGAAGAGGAAGGGGTGGGAGAAGAGGGAAAAATCCTAGCAGGTCAACTCAAAGAAAGTCTGGTGAATGACAGTTTACAGGGATGGCCCCACTTAACCCATTGCTGCAAGGCTGGTTGTTGGCAGCATGTTAACTTTCAATGCCATTCCGTTTCTTATTCCCCAGTGCTACGGTTAAAAGTCTCTTGTTACACACTGAAGGGGGGGGGGACTCAGTGATATAATTGTTTTTAAGCCAGTCAAACATATCGTTAAGTAATACTCTACATAGCAGTTAAAGAGGAAATAGAGCCAACAGCACCAGGGTGAGACAAAGCGGCTGGAAACACCATCCTGAGGCGGGTGTGCTGCACATAACCCTGTGACCAATTTTGTACTTGAGCAAGTAGGGCCATGGCTTGCAAACAACCTGATCTCCAGCAGACTGCACAGCAGTCACCTGTGCTCACTGCTTCAGTCTGAACCTCAGGAGATGCTGTCACATTGTGTGTGTGGTTTGGGCTTTTTTTTTTTCTTTTTTTTTTTTAAGCTTGGTATCAAACTTTGGAACTTTGGAGACATCTTTACTTCCCTGTTCTCTTCAAAGAGGAAAAATACCTTTTTTTTTTAATTTTTAGTATGAATGAAGAGAAAAAGTTACAAGAGGGCTCAATGGTGGGCAAGAGCTAGGTATGTTACACTCAGAACAGCCCCTGCCTTTTCAGTTTGTTGATACCAGACTGAGATCAGATCCTGTCTCTGATTTGGGAAAGCACACGGCAATAATCATACCGCCTGGCACTGGGAATTCAAGATGCTAAGCCTGACCCCTAAGGACAGTGGAGAGTGCTGGACATTTCTAGAAACTGATTAAAAGCACTTGAATTAGGAGCCTGCCTATCCTAGGGTTATCACACCTCCACAGACTATAAAGCTTCCTCACAGGAAGACAAATCTCCTAACTTAAGACACTTAAACTCAGGCAACCTGAATATCATCCACAACTAAATGCACAAATGCCTGTAATTGACGTCCAGTATAAGCATCTTTCCTACACGGGAAGTTTAACTGAACCAGAGTCTGTGTGAGCAGTGCTCTCATTAGAAACTTTCATTTGATTAGATGCACTTGAACAGGTAATTGCCCTAAGCCAGAGGAAGTGCTGTCGTCCTCTCAGGACTGATGGGGCCTGTGAAGATGCAGCAATGAAAGAATTATTTTCCTGAGCTTCTGCTCTCTCTGCTACAACCTCTCTTCTCAGCCCCTCCTGGCCCTTCAGCAGTCTTCGCAGGCTGCTTCACAGCTGTGCTTATCCCACCTGTTTTCTTGCTGCCTCCTATAGTAAAACTCCCTCCTCTGAAAAAATCTTCTATTGCCCTGACCCCTCTATCCTCCTTCACAAGTCAAACTGTCTTCACTTGCTAGCAGGCTGCTCTCTCTACTTCAGTCTGCTCTCCCTCACTTCCATTGCCAAAGCAGCAATGGTGAGTCTTCTTTTTGAGGTAAGTGACCCACATGGCATGGCCTGGGACTGACAGAAGGTACTCAGAAGGTACTTTGTTTTTTCCTCTGCCATGGAGCTGCTCAGGTTTATCAGCTCTCTTCTCTACTGTGTATATGCACACATAAATTACATGAAATCAAAACATCTCTGAAGGGTAAATGAGGCACAGGCAAACCCCAGAGAAGACTGTAGGTGGGATGTGACATAAGTCTAGCTTGTAGTTCTGAAAAGTCATGAAAACTGCTGCCTGACCTTGCAAAGTTTCAACTCAACATCCACACTTCTTTTGCTTCAAAGTTTCCCAGGTACCTGTGTATACCCAGAAACACTCTCCTCTTCACAGTCCAGCAGCTCTGCCCTATTCAGATCTAGGAATTGGCACTGCCTCTCTCAGGTTAGCTCAGAGTAAGACACTCCAGCAGGATTGGTCTCTAAAATGGCATGCAATTCTGGTTCCTTCTCCCCTTTAAATAGGGCAAGGAGATAATAGTCATTCTGGATTCCTAGTCCCATTCCCACCCCTAAGGACAGATACCTAAACTCTTTCTTTCAAAGATCCCAGCAGGACTGACGCTGGTCTTCTGAAACGCAGCTGCCAGATGACAAAAGGCTACAGTGCTGCTTTCTCCTGATCTTCCCTGTTTATAGAAGCTGCCTCTCTGATCACCAAGACTCATGCCTTCATCCTTCCCTGACAGACTCAGGAGTGTTCCTAGTCAAAGATGCAGGCATGCCCCAAATCTCTTGCAGAGGATGTGGAGAAAGGGATTCAGGACTTCTTACAGCAAAGAGAAAGCAAGAATAACTTCATAGCCCAGTGGTCAGGAGAGAAGTCGTGTGTCCTGTTTCCAGCACTGTTTCGGATTTTACAGTAAATATTTACTGATTAAAACCTATGAACAGCTGTTGATGAAGAAATGACAATCAACTTCCACTCCCCAAATCCACTGACTGAAACTTCCAGATCAGTCCAAGAAGGTGGAAAACAACTATTAATTTCCCCACCCCGCCACTGCTTTCCATTGTCATCTCAATGACACTGATTCTTCCTCTAACATGATCTCCCCCACCACTAACACCTCTGAATTCAAGGCAAATAGAACAATGTTGTTTTCAAAAAGGTTGATTTTCAGAAGTCTAGACATAATTAAAAATTAGACTTCTACAAAACACAAGAAGATAAAGACATATTGATTTTGCCAGAACTCCTTGATTTTTTGCTTCAATTAATATATTAAGTAGTCTTGTCAGTCAGACTCCTTGTCAATGAAATAGAAGCTAAGACATGGCTGCTAAACCCTTCAAGAAAAAAAAAGAAAAAAAAAAAGCCTTCATCCTGATTATCACAGCCAAACTCTCATGCTCAAGAAACTGCATTCAACTTGCATGCACATTTCAATACAGATGTTGTGCTTTCCTGTCATGCAGTACTCTGATTGCTCTTTACTCTTCCCCAGAGAAAAATGAAATTAATCTAGCCCACAGACTTTGGAAAACATGTAAAAATATGGATGCTGGTACCTCAACAATTCCTAAATACCAATAAACTCGTTCGAGGAACAGCCTATCT